GACCTGTGGGTAGAGTACTGGTAGACGGCGGCGCGTTTGCCACCGTGATGCCGTTTCGGACATTCAGGAAGTTGGAAAAGACAAGGGATGATTTGATACTAACCTTAGTATGAGCCATGGATTTTATGGGAAGTTCGTACAAGCCGGCGGATATTGCTACTGTTGAGGTGCAAGTTGGTACAAAGAAGTTACCTTTAGCATTTGTGATAATAGACAGCCGCTCGTCATGTGCAGCGTTGTTAGGGCGGGATTGGATTCACGCCTGCGAGTGTGTACCGTCGACTTTGCATAAGAAGTCGCTATTTTGGGATGGCGATGAGGTTCAAGAGGTTGAAGCGGAGAAATATTCATTCGCAACGGAGGTCACTGCCGTAGATGGGACTTTCTACCATTCAAAGATGACCCACGGCCGACCCACGGCCTATGAATGAAGAAGGTTATGATGAGTTTCTAATGTGACGAAATTTGATATGAGCTGCTTGGAGCAGGCTCCATTGCAAGTTCAGAGCCATTCAGAGCAGACTCTATAGAAAGTTTTGAGCCGCTCGGAGCAGGCTCCATTGTTCAGAGCCATTCAGAGTAGGCCTCATGAAAAGTTTTGAGCCGCTCAGAGCAGGCTCCATTGCACATTCAGAGCCGTTCAGAGTAGGTTCCATGGTAGGTCTTGCGCTGCTCAGAGCAGGCTCCGTTGCGCAACATTCAGAGCTGGCCAGAGCAGGCTCCATTGCAAGTTCAGAGCCATTCAGAGCAAGCTCCATGGAAAGTTTTGAGCCTCTCGGAGTAGGCTCAATTGCACGTTCAGAGCCGTTCATAGCAGGCTCCATGGAAAGTTTTGAGCCGCTCGGAGTAGGCTCCATTGCACATTCAGAGCCGTTCAGAGCAGGTTCCATGGTAGGTCTTGTGCTACTCGGAGCAGGCTCTATTGCAAAACATTCAGAGCCGGCCAGAGCAGGCTCAATTGAAAGTTCAGAGCTGCTCAGAGCAGGCCCCATGGAAGGTCCAGAACTGCTCAGAACAAGTTCTGTCGGCAGTCCAAAATTGTCCAGGGAAGTTGCCAATGAAGCAGAATTACCATCACCCGTACATAAAATATACCTGATGTTCCAGGCCCAAGACCCGTTGGAGGACATTGATTTGAGCATTGATGGAGTTCCACGAATCACCAAAGTTAGTGCATTGTTAACATCAGAAGCTCGAGCCATCTTGTTAACACTTATAAAAAAATACCGGGATTGCTTTGGTTGGGATTACATTGAAATGTCAGGCTTGGCTCGAGAACTCGTCGAACATCGACTACCCATAAAAGCAGGATACAAACCCCACAAGCAGCCGCCGAAGAGCTTTAATCCATATGTGTACCCAAAATCAAAGAGAAAATTCAGCGGCTCTTGGGGGGCAGGGTTCATTCGGACTTGTCGATACCCGGAATGGGAGGTCAACGTAGTTCCCGTACTCAAGAAAAATGGCAAATTGCGGGTATGATTTGATTGCCGTAGTTTGAATTTAGCAACGTCCAAAGATGAATATGTTATGCTCATCGCCGATATTTTAGTCGATGCAGCCGCCATGAACGGGAGTCTTTCGTTTATGGATGGGTATTCCGGCTACAACCAAATTTTCATAGCCGAGGAGGATGTTACAAAAATGGCATTCTGATGCCTAGGGGCCCTTGGAGTGTATGAATGAGTGGTAATTCCGTTTGGGTTGAAGAATACTGGAGCTACTTATCAGGGAGCAATGAACACCATATTTCACGATTTAAAGGGATAATCGGTGGAGGTCTACATTGATGAGATCGTGTTAAAATCTAAGGTTTTTTTCGGAGCATCTGGTGGATCTTGAGAAAGCTATCCGGTGAATGAGACAATATAATTTGAAGATGAATCTAGCGAAATGCGCATTTGGAGTGGCCTCGGGAAACTTTTTGGGTTTCCTGGTGCATAATAAGGGTATTGAGATGGATAGTAACAAGACGAAAGCTAATATCAATGTCCAACTGCCTGAGAATCTAAAGCAACTCCAAAGATTCCTCGGGTAGGTAAACTTTTTTTGAAGGTTTGTTTCGAATGCTGCGGCAAGCTAAAGGCTTTTTCTACGTTGCTCAAATTACGGAAGACGAAGGAATTTGTGTGGAATCCGCCACACCAGCAGGCTTTCGAGGCTATTAAAGAAGCTCTGGCTGACCTGTCGCGCGGTCAATCAAATATTTCACCTACTCCGTGATCACAATTTAATGTAATATAGGGGAATGGATCGTCTCCACAGGGATTGTGTGATTCACTCTTTCGTGTTCTAATGCAGTAAATAAAGGGGGATTTTTCTTTTATTATCTAATTAAAATAAAATAACAAAGCAATTAAATTAAAGGGGAACTGACTATCAAGGGGATGCCTGGCTCAAGGGATGATGCAGTTATGGCACTTGTGTTCTATCATTAATTCAATAAAATTAATTCTTATTAAAGTATCAATAAATTGGTTATAGTTATCAACAAGCTCTGACAACCAATTTTTCCTTACAGTGTAGGTAATTAAGGTACGACCGTTAACTACCCCTAATTAAGCAAATAAACCTAGGTGCGCCCATAAGAATGTTGTCTAACCGCATTGTAATCTAAAAAAACTCAATTCAAAACAATTACTACCTAGGAGGAGCAATTATATTTGATTGTCTAACCCCCGGGAATGAACTATTCAACCCGATTGTCACCTATTCAAGTGCGAATACAATTACGGATATCCTACTTGAATTGACTTTAGATTATCAGACTAATTTAAACATCGGTACCAAAATATTCAATCAATCTAACAATCACAAACGCTATTCTCAGAATTAGACAAATATTGATAATCACAAAGAACTTTTATAAAGAAAATCAAGAATCTCCAAAACAAAAGAACCAAAACATTATCACCCCTCAAACCAGAAAAGTATCTACTCCATAATTAAATAACAAAGAACAAAAGAGAAAGATGAAGTCATAGTGGGAGGGGGAAATCTTCTCTGTCGATTTGCTCATGCGCGATCTATGGATCTGTCAGTCTCCTGCTCCTGTGCGTATCTGCCCTAGGCATTCTCCCCCTTTTGAAACGTGTGATCCCTCATTTTATTTAATGTTTACCCTAATTATTTTGTAGATGGGCTTTTGGGCCTTTAATTAATTTTATTTCTTTTTTTCTGCCAATTATGCCAAATTTAATATTTGCCCTCTGCACACAGCAAATAAACAATTCGCATATAAATTAGGTAGAATCCAATCAAAATCACCCAATTATCGCATATGATATGAATATAAAACGCATGCGATTTCTAACTATCAATTCTCCCCACACCTAGATCATGCTTGCCCTCAAGCATAAATTCGAAATAAGCCAAAGAAATCGCAGGCAACTCGATATGACAAGAGGATCCAACACAACCAATTCAATCCGACTTTTAACACATCAAGCCAAGTCAACCTCACAAGAGTAAGTGTTTTCTCACATGCTCTCTAAAGGAATTAAATGTATAATTGGCTCAACACTCAGGTAATGCAACAAAAGATTATCCTATAGGCTTGAGTAAAAATCAAATCTCCCTTACTTAAAATATTCGAATCTAGCGTAAAGAATCAAAGGGACTTTCAATAAGGGTTGTAACGGGGCTTATGGTCAGGGTAGGAAAAAGGATATACAAGGGCTAAAATATGTCATAAAAGAACACAATAAGAACACGATGCTAGCACATGAAGAACAAATCGGCATAAACAATCAAATCCTTACTCTATTCACTACCCAAACTTTAATAATGAAATTAAATGAAAATACTTTATTAAGATAATTATTTATTTATTTTTTGTATTATTTTTTTTTTGTTTCTTTTTTTTTTTTTTTTTTTTTCGTTTTTTAATTTTTTAATTTTTATTTCTTGTTTTTTTTTTATTTTTGATTTTTGATTTTTTTTTTTGATTTTGCCTATATATATATATATATACCTACACTACCCACAGTTATTCCTTTATACTATGACTTATTCGTACCCAAAGTTCGTTTCTAACTAGTGCCGAAGAAATAAAGTGCATCACAACATGGACTTAAAGTAATTCTTTCTAACATAGGGTTCAAATCGGAGAAGGCTCAATCGAAAGAAGGGTATAAGGCTAAAAAATAGTTTATTATAAAAAAAAAAATAGGCTAAGAAGGCTCAAATGGGCTAACTAGGGGAATATATTGTGCTGGGTAATAAAGAAAGGCTTAATGGGTTACCTAGTGCCCTTATCATTTTCAAAACGCAAGACCCGATAGTTGCAAGTTCAACATGCATACTCACTCAAGTTCTAGGTCATCTAATTGAGCACTACAAATCACACATGAAAATTTTTTTCCAAAAGCTTGAATATATGCAATTTATTTTCTACTGTGACTTTTGGAACATAGGCTCAAATTCTCACAGGGTTCAAACGTCGACTTGACTCAACATATCATCAATCAAATGTCATTAGTCATGCCAAACTAACCTATCACACAAATCACCTTTGACTCACTTCAGACTAATCTCAAAAACATGCGAAAAGACAGCAAATCAGGCATAAAAATAGTACAAAAATCTCTCCCCACACCTAAAGTATGCATTGTCCTCAATGTAAAGAAAGCAATAAAAGAAGAGAGGAACTTCCCTGGAGTCCATAGGGAGTGTAGTAGTTGGGAGCTTTGTTAACACCTCTTCATTTGATCGTGATTTTTAGGGAGGCTTGAAGTTCTCCTGAGTCCTGCGAAAACAACTAACCAATGCAAGTCATTTAGAGGAGCGGATGTGGTGATCGGTGATGACTGAGCAGGGAAGGAAGAAGTCGACGGTGCCGGAGGTTGGAGGTGGCAACTAAACCAAACAAAACTATCAAAAGTGTTATTAGCAATTAAATAATAAAAATAAATAAAATTAAAGAAAGCAATTAAATGATTTTGGGTTGTCTCCCAAAAAGCGCTTTTCTTTATAGTCTTTGAGCTAGACTTCGCCTCGCATCAATTCTGAACATCGAAATCGGCAACGGGTGCCGACTTTATAGGATCAAGTGAGGGTCCCTCGTGGTATAATTTGAAGCGATGTCTATTGGCCACACACTTTTTCTTCGGCTTAGAATTTTGATTCTCCTTATGACATTTTTTCGCTGCCAGCAATGGTGATCCCTTGGGAATCCATCTCCACTTTTCGACAATCTTTTTTCTTTTCTTACTCTCTCCAGTTGGTCTTTTCTCTAATTGTTTTGTCAACACAGTTCTTCGTTTATTCTCATTACCAACTTCAAAAGTTTCCTGCACCACAGAATTAATAACATTAATTGCATATAACGATTTAGATTCAACAGGACATTTGACGGGATTAAAAATATTGAAATGAAATTCTTCTCCATCAAACTCCAAGCTGAGTGTGCCCTTTTTAACATCTATCTTTGTTCCTGCAGTGCACATAAAAGGTCTTCCTAACAAAAGAGGCGGTGGATTAGAGCAGTGCGCATCATGCATATCCAGAATATAAAAATCAATAGGAAAAATCAATTCATTCACTTGAACTAGTACATCTTCTATCATACCATCGGGATAAGCATAGGTTCGATCAGCAAGTTGAATAATAATTCCTGTTTCTTTTAAAGGCCCTAGATTTAAAGAGTCGTATATTGATCGTGGCATGACATTAATAGCAGCTCCTAAATCTAGCATAGCCTTAGTTATCTCAGTTTTTCCAATCCTACAAGGGATAGAAAACATACCTGGATCACCTGTTTTGGGTGGTACCTTTCTTTTGATAACAGCAGAAACGTTTTCACCCGCTATAATATGCTCGTCCCCTCGCAATTTCCTTTTGTTAGTGCACAGTTCTTTCAAAAACTTTGCATACTTGGGGATTTGGTTGATAGCCTCCAGGAGCGGGATATTAAGTTCTACCTTCTTGAATATTTCCATCATCTTTTTTCGTTTGTTTGTCTTTTTTGGTTTCTTCAACCTGTCAGGAAAAGGAGCTGATTTAGTTTCAGTAGGAGGAACAGAGTCAGGAAGTACCTTTTTGTGAAGTTCAGCTTCTTTTTCAATCTCTATCTCAATCTGATCCTCATTTTGTTCCTTTGAGATAGGAGGTGGACCTTCCAATTCCTTTCCGCTACGAAGAGTTATGGCACTGATGTTCTTCGGGTTTTGCTCTAGTTGCGCAGGCCACTTTCCTCTTTCTCGTAGTTGTTTTACCTCTTCTGAAACTTGGCTAATCTGACTTTGTAGCTTGTCGACAGTTGACTTCATCTCTTGCCGGAATTGCAGGGTACTGGTAGCTATAGACTTCACCAAGTCTTCCAAGGACGGACTGGAGTTGCTTGTGGGTGCTTGGGGGAGCTGTTTCTGGTAAGGGCGAGGCTGTTGCATCTGATGTGTGGCTCCAAATGGTTGAGGACCATGATTCTGGTGTGCATTTCCATAGCGCAGGTTTGGATGATCTCTCCAGCTTGGATTGTAGGTGTTGGAGTATGGATTGTACGCTGGAGGTCTATTCATACCGTAGTTTGCAACGTTCAAATCCGCTGCACATTCTTCTTGGAGGGTCGGACATGCATCTGTAGGGTGTCCTGTACTCGTGCATATTCCACACGCCTTGACCTGGACACTCGGGTTGGATTTTTCCACGACCATTTTGCGAACGAAGCTCGTCAACTCAGAAAGTTGTTGCTGCATCGATTGGATGGCATGGTCACTGTTGTTTCCGCTCATCTGTCCAACATCTCTTGAACCAAATTGCTGCGTGTTTTCAGCCATCCTCGCAATAAGATCCCAAGCTTGTGCCGGCGTCTTATTTACTAAAGCTCCACCACTTGCAGCATCAATAATGTTCCTGTCCATCAACGACAAACCATCATAAAAGTATTGAATCAATAATTGATGGGGAATTTGATGTTGTGGACATTTAATGATAAGCTTATTGAATCGCTCCCAATATTCATGGATCGTTTCACCTGATTGTTGCTTGATACCACATATCTCCTTCCTCAGGATCGCAGCTCTGGAAGCTGGAAAGTACTTCTCCAAAAATTTCTTCTTCATGTCGTTCCACGTGTCGATGCTTCCAGGTGGGAGATAGTAGAGCCAATCCTTTGCAGCACCTTTGAGTGAGAATGGGAAGGCTCTGAGTTTGATCTGTTCGTCAGTAACACCTGGTGGTTTCATGCTGGAGCACACCACGTCGAACTCTTGCAAGTGTTTATGAGGTTCTTCACCTGCAAGTCCATGAAAAGAAGGCAATAAATGAATTAATCCAGATTTCAGTTCAAAAGCAACAGCGTTATTGAGTGTTGGAAAGTTAATGCATAAGGGCTGCTGCGCCAAGTCGGGAGCAGCCAACTCCCTTAAAGTGCGGGTATCCTCAGCCATGACAGTCTCTTGATCACTTTCAGAGTCGCTAGAGCTAGAGATTTTGAGGTGGTTTAAAGATTCTGCCAGCTTCGCAACCTGAGCAGCTTTTTGTTGCTTGGCTTCTTTTCGTAGCTTTCGCTCAACCTTCTCGATCTCAAGATTAAATATCAGTTCACCTGTACGAGAAGAACGGGGCATAAACAGGAGGATAAATTAAAATAACACAAAAGAGTAAAACAAAGCGCCAATCCCCGGCAACGGCACCAAAAATTGACCTGTTGCGCGGTCAATCAAATATTTCACCTACTCCGTGATCACAATTTAATGTAATATAGGGGAAGGGATCGTCTCCACAAGGATTGTGTGATTCACTCTTTCGTGTTCTAATGTAGTAAATAAAGGGGGATTTTTCTTTTGGTATCTAATTAAAATAAAATAACAAAGCAATTAAATTAAAGGGGAACTGACTATCAAGGGGATGCCTGGCTCAAGGGATGATGCAGTTATGACACTTGTGTTCTATCATTAATTCAATAAAATTAATTCTTATTAAAGTATCAATAAATTGGTTATAGTTATCAACAAGCTCTGACAACCAATTTTTCCTTACAGTGTAGGTAATTAAGGTACGACCGTTAACTACCCCTAATTAAGCAAATAAACCTAGGTGTGCCCATAAGAATGTTGTCTAACCGCATTGTAATCTAGAAAAACCCAATTCAAAACAATTACTACCTAGGAGGAGCAATTATATTTGGTTGTCTAACCCCCGGGAAGGAACTATTCAACCCGATTGTAACCTATTCAAGTGCGAATACAATTACGGATATCCTACTTGAATTGACTTTAGATTATCAGACTAATTTAAACATCGGTACCAAAATATTCAATCAATCTAACAATCACAAACGCTATTCTCAGAATTAGACAAATATTGATAATCACAAAGAACTTTTATAAAGAAAATCAAGAATCTCCAAAACAAAAGAACCAAAACATTATCACCCCTCAAACCAGAAAAGTATCTACTCCATAATTAAATAACAAAGAACAAAAGAGAAAGATGAAGTCATAGTGGGAGGGGGAAATCTTCTCTGTCGATTTGCTCATGCGCGATCTATGAATCTGTCAGTCTCCTGCTCCTGTGCGTATCTGCCCTAGCCATTCTCCCCCTTTTGAAACGTGTGATCCCTCCTTTTATTTAATGTTTGCCCTAATTATTTTGTAGATGGGCTTTTGGGCCTTTAATTAATTTTATTTCTTTTTTTCTTCCAATTATGCCAAATTTAATATTTGCCCTCTGCACATAGCAAATAAACAATTCGCATATAAATTAGGTAGAATCCAATCAAAATCACTCAATTATCGCATATGATATGAATATAAAACGCATGCGATTTCTAACTATCACTGGCCAGTCCACCAGTGCTGATGCCGCCGCAAGCAGGTAAACATTTACATTTATATGTTTCGGCCACCGAGAATATGGTCGGTTGTTTATTGGCGCAGGTGGCTCCCGACAAAAGCGAGCGTGCCATTTTTTATCTCAGTAAAGTAATGAACAACGCGGAAACTAGGTACACTCCTATGGAAAAATTATGTCTTGCTTTGTTTTATGCTTGCAAAATACTTGAGTATTATTTTGCTCCGAGGGAGACGGAAGTGGTGTATCATGTCGATATTTTTAGATATTTATTAAGCAGACCAACTTTAAGGCGGAGACAAGCGAAATGGGCTGTAAAGTTAGCCGCTTTTGATTTACGATATGTACCAATTAAAGCTGTCAAAGGGCAGGTCGTTGCTAATTTTTTGGCAGATCATCCGAGTTCGATATCCGAGCAAGCGGTTGGTCGTATGGAAACTGTTATCAGTCCTGTGCCCTGGATCTTGAAGTTTGATGGTTCCAGCATACAAACCGGTGCTAGAGCTGGTGTCTTTATTGAGAGCCTATGGGGAAGAAAGTTGACCGTTGCCAAACCATTGGCGTCCGGATTTACTAATAATCAGGCCGAGTACGAAGCCTTATTAGTCTATTTGAGGATCCTCCATCAAAAAGAAGCTAAGGTGATCAGGGTTCAAGGTGATTTGCAATTGATCCTTAAAAAAATCGCTGGTACATTCCAGTGCAAGGATGAGAAATTGAGAAACCTTCGAATGGAGGCCGCTACCATGTTATAGAATTTCGGTGACGCGATTGTGGAATTCATACCTCGACCTGACAATGGGGTAGCTAATGACTTAGCTCAAGAGGCCTTCGGGCATAAGCCATCGGCCGGAGGAAGGTTCAAGTCAGAGCAAGTCTTTATGTGCCTAGTGGAAGCATACGATTGGCGTGCGGAACTAAGAAAGTATTTGGAACAACCAGTCGGTGAAGCCCCTTTAAAGTTACGAAGGCAGGCTCTGAAATATACTTTGATTGATAGAGATCTTTTCCTCAAAGACGCTGACGGAATGCTACTGAAATGCATGGATATCCAGCCATGAAGGTGATGGGTGAGGTGCATGAAGGGGTTTGGAGAGCACACAAATCCGGGTTGGTCATGAGGTAGACAATTTGGAGGTACGGTTATTTTTGGTAGTCAATGACAGAGGATTGCATCAAGTATGATCAAGGATGTGAAGCGTGTCAGCGGCACGGCCCTTTGATCCGAATTTCAGCAGAAGAAATGCATCTAATCGTAAAACCATGGCCATTCTGGGGATGGGCGATGGATATCATTGGAAAGATCCATCCGCCATCCTCCAAAAGACATCCGTTCATATTGGTGGCCACAAATTATTTCACAAAGTGGATCGAAGTTGTACCATTGGCCAACGTGACATATCAAGAAGTGGTTACGTTCATCAAGGAACACACTATTCACCGGTATGGAATCCCGCAAACAATTACCGCCGATTAAGGTACTGTGTTTACTAGTGACAGAGTAACCGCCTTCTCCGCACAGTACGTGATCACTCTTTTGCATTCATCCCCGTATTATGTGCAGGCAAACGGGCAGGCCGAAGCAACCAATAAAATCTTAATCGGAGTAATTAAAAAGGTTGTGGAAGACAATCCGAGAAGATGGCACGAAGTGTTGGGGGAGTCTTTATGGGCCTGCAGGCAATACCGAAGTACAACTACCGGTTGCACCCCATTCCAGATGGTCTATGGGCAAGAAGCGATATTACTGTTAGAAATCACGGTGCCATCTTTACGAATCTTGAAGCAGAATTTGCTCAGCCTTGAACAATACGATGCTTCCGTGCTACAAAGGTTGGATGACGTGCATGAAGATCGATGATTGCCTTTGAGAATATCCGGTTGAACAAAAAGAGAGTGGCACGAGCTTACAATAAAAAAGTACGCCGGCGAGCATTCCACGAAGGAGATTTAGTATGGAAGGCAGTGTTACCCAAGGATTCAAATATAACACATTTGGGAAGTGGTCTCCTATGTAGGAAGGTCCATATCAAGTAAGTAAAGTATAGTTTAACGGTGCTTATAGATTGATGAATATTGATGGGACAGAACATAGAAATGTCATTAATGCTGGGCACCTTATGGGGTATATGTCACCATTTGAGTTTTGATAAAGGAATGAAGTGGATAAGTGAAAGCAGGTCTTTTACAAACCGCTAAATACGAGACAAAGTGAAAGCAGATCTTTTCCAGACCGCTAGCAAAATGGAAGCAGGTTGTGGAGCCGCTTCCAGAAAGAAAGCAAGCAATGGAGCCGCTTCTAGAAAGAAAGCAGGTTGTGGAGCCGCTAAGGAAGCAGGTTGTGTAACCGCTTTCAGAAAGAAAGTAGGCTATGAAGTCACTTCCAGGAAGAAAGCAGGCTCTTGAGCCACTACGAACGCAGGATGTGGAGCCGCTTCAAACATAAGAAGGGGTTCAAACCATATAAGCAACTACCGAGAAGGGTTAACCCAGAGCTGCTTCCACAGATCAAATAAGAGATTGAGAAATTGTTGAAGGTAGGGTTCATTCGACCCTGTCGATATGCGGAATGGTTAGCCAAGATCGTCCCGGTAACCAAGAAGAATGGAAAGATTCGGATCTGCATTGATTTCAGAGATCTCAATCTCGCCACTCCTAAAGATGAGTATGTGATGCCCATAGCCGATATGTTGATCAACTCGGCAGCAGGACATCGAATTTTAAGCCTGATGGATGGTTATGCAGGGTATAATCAAATCTCACTAGCAGAGGAAGATATACCCAAAACCGCATTCAGGTGCCCAAGAGCCTTGGGGATCTACGAATGGACGGTTATGTCATTCGGTTTAAAGAATGCTGGAGCAACCTATCAACGGACAACGAATACTATCTTTCACGATTTAATTGGGCGGTCCATGGAGGTATATATTGATGATGTGATCATTAAGTCTACTGACTTTGATACACACTTGGCCGACTTGGAAAATGCTTTTCTACGGATGAAGCAGTACAACCTGAACATGAACCCAACTAAATGTGCCTTTGGAGTTTCGGCAGAAAATTTCCTAGGTTTTCTGGTGCATGAAAAGGGAATAGAGGTTGATGCGAACAAAACTAAAGCTGTTCTGACCATGCGACCCCCTCGGACGATAAAAGAGGTTCAAAGTTTGTTAGGTAAAGTGAACTACCTAAGGAGGTTCATATCAAATGCCGCAGGGAAATTAAAACCCATCACAAAGTTGCTAAAGAATAAGGCAACCGATTTCTGTTGGGGTCCGGAGCAGCAAGAGACATTAGAAGAAATCAAGCAGGCATTAACCAAACCACCCGTGTTGGTGCCCCCAAGAGGAGATCGACCCCTTCGACTGTATTTTGCAAACAGTTTCGATGTGGTAAGTAGTCTGCTTGCGCAAGAATGGGAAGATGGTAAAGAGATGGCTATTTATTATTTAAACAAAACTCTGGCAAGACAAGAGTTGAATTATACTATGCCCGAGAAAATATGTTATTCTTTAGTCTTTGCGTGTACTCGGTTGGAGCATTATATTCTGCCAAAAGAAACCGAGGTGGTTTCCAAAGTGGATCTAATCAGATTAATTCTGCACAGACCAACCATGCAGGAAAGGTTAATGAAATGGGCCAACAAATTGGCTCATTTCGCGCTGCAACATCGACCTATCAAGGCGGTGAAAGAGCAGGTAGTGACCGACTTGTTGGCGGAATTTATGAGCAACAAACCAGTGGAAAACAAAATGGTGCCGTATATAGGCACTAGTCCTTGGAAAATATTTTTTGATGGTTCTCGTTCAAAAGGGAAGTCAGGAGTAGGAGTTATATTAGAAAGACCTGGAGCCCGCAAGATAAGTTTGCAACTTCAAATGGAGGAGATGGGTCATAAATCTGCCGAATACGAAACACTAATTTTGGGTCTGGAAGCACTTGTGGCCAAGGGAGCGCAGGCAGTTATGATTTGTGGAGATTCTCAACTGGTCATCAATCAAGTTTTAAGACGAGAATCGGCAAGCAGATAATCTGGCCCAGAATGCCTGCCAGCAAATAATTGGTAATGTTGATACCAATATTGATTGGAGAACAGAAATTATGATTTATCTGGAATCACCAAATTCCACGACTCATATGGGCATTCGGTTGAAAGCGTTACGTTTCCAGCTTATGGAAGAGGTTATGTATAAGAGAACCTTTGAAGGGATATTATTAAGATATCTGGGACCAGAAGAATCCATTAAGGTAATGGAATAAGTTCATGGTGGAGTTTGTGGGGCACACCGAGTAGGATTAAACATGCGATGGGCTATTCATCGTTTGGGGTTTTATTGGCCAAAGATATTTGATGATTGTATCAGATTTGCTAAAGGGTGTCAGGAGTGCCAGAGGCATGGTCCATTAAATCATCTGCCAGCAATGGAACTCCAGAAAATGGTTAAGTCGTGGCCATTCAAGGTCTGGGCGTTGGATGTAAGAGGGAAAGTTCATCCGGCGTCATCAAAGCAACATTCGTTCATTGTAGTAGCAACTGATTACTTTACCAAACGGGTAGAAGCAGTCCCATTGAATAATACGATGCAGAAAGAGGTGATTGAGTTCGTACTTAATCATATTATTTACCTGTTTGGGATTCCCCACACCCTTACAACTAATCAGGGTTTGATGTTTACTGGGGAGAAATTTATGGAGTTTCTGGCCTAGTTCAACATTAAATTGCCTCATTCTTCACCTTATTACCCACAAGCTAATGGGTTGGCCGAAGCGGCAAATAAAATCGTCATCGGTATCATCCGAAAAATGGTAGAAGGAAATCCAAGGAAATGCCATACACTGCTATATCAGGCATTGTGGGCCCACCGAAATAGTAGAAATACTTCTAATGAATTCTCCCTATACCAATTAACGTTCGGGCAAGATGTTGTTCTGCCAGCAGAATTTGTTGTATCTTCACCCAGAGTGGGTAATACAACAGCAAATATTGATGAGGCGTATGCACAAGGGATGTGGCAACAACTGGAGGAGGTGGACACAGATCGGTTAAATGCTCTGGATCAAGTGGTTAGACAGAGTGAGATTAGAGCAAAGTATTATGGAAAAAGAGTGTCCCCAAAGGTTTTTGCAGAAGGAGATTTGGTGTGGAAAATAATTATGCCTACATATAAGAAGGTGGACCAATTAGGGAAATGGTCCCCCAATTGGGAAAGCCCTTTTATCATTCACAGAGTAATTGGAACTAGAGCTTTTATTATTGTGAACCAAGAAGGAAAGCTGGTACATGAAAATGTTAATGCTAAGTATCTGAAAAGATATTTTCCTGCCTTTTCAGAACATTGTCATTAATTCTTATTACCAAATCTAGGAACCCCTTTAAGGGTTTGAACCTATAGGAAAGGGTTCTTTAATCATCATCCAAAAGGGTGACACAAGGGTGATTGTCTTCTGGTTCAGAGGTTTCATCCCAACTCGCATAAACTATTTCAGGTTCTTCATCCAGGAGGTCCTCTAAATCAAGACGATAACAATCCCATTGATCTTGCATTTCTTGAAGGTCTTGTTCGGTGCGAACTTTCATGTCTTGCAGAGATTGGCTTTCTCATTCAACAAGAACACGCAGCTTGGAAAGTGTTGATCTTTGTTGGTGGAAAATGTTGTACCAGCTAAGGTCTGGGAGAATGGCCGAGACATGATGGTCTATCATATCTAGATGATGGTCAAGATAAAAAATGCAAGTAAGTATATCAGTAAAGGGTTCATAACTGGTGGATACGCGTTCCGTTAAACGGATTGTGCGATGTATGGTTCTTCTTCCTCTGCCAAAGAATTTAAATTTAAAGTCCAAGTTTTTTGAGCACCTGTATCATGTCCTCGGCATGATGACCTATGGGGTGTTTTCCCACAAGGAATGGTTGCAAGGAACCTTCCCAGTTTGAACTAGGAACGCGAATGCGAGGAGAAACCATTTTTGAGTGTGATGTGGTGGATACTGATGATGTTTGTAGTAGGAGGTATGGAGTATATATAGGCATTGTGGTGTCTAATTCTTGACTTAGTAAAAGTGCAAAGAACAAGGATCTGTGTTCTGATGTGGTATTTAATTCCTGACTTGGTAAAAATACAAAGAACATAGGATCTGTGTTCTGAAAAGTAGGATTCATATATATACTAAGTTCAGAAGTTATATACATTTTACGTCAGAATTACAAGGAAAGCAAGGCCCTAAGGGCGGTTCGGAGGTCGGCCCACTTCAACTCCGACCTCGTGGCCCGCCGACGCTGGTAGGCCTCCTGGTGTCCCCTAACAAGCCTCATTCGTATGCTTGCTTGAAGTTGTTCGCAGAGGCTCATTTGGGTCTGGCAATGTTCCTCCACCAGGTGACTCCCTTCATGGATGTTGTCATCCAGGGACTCCAACTGTTCTTGAAGACGTTTGAGTTCTTCCGTCTTTCGGGAGATCTCAGCCGCCAGCGTTTGTCGCGCCTGTCGGAGTTCGTCCAGCGTAGTCTTGGCAAGGTTGAGGTCTTGGTCGACCTTCTTCAAGGATGCCTCAAGACTGGCTAGATTAGCGGTCGGTTGAGATGATGTGGCCTCGGATGATAGAGGTCAGATCAGAGGTAGTTCAGCTTAAAGTTCGGTGATCCTCACCATCATCCGATCAAGAACCGAGGGGGCTTCCGACTCCAGTGTGGGCTGCACCAACAAGTCTATCGCGACCTGAACTAAAGCCTCGAGGTCGGCTAAACTCAAGTCGGCAAAGGACAGGTCGGTGCAGAGTTCTATGATGAATCTGGCGGGGGTCGGAAGGTTCACTCGGGCCAATACATTCATCTCTTGGGCGGTCTGAAACAAAAGCGTTAAGGTATGGAGGAACAAATTGAATTAGTTACAATACAAAGATAGGGTTTACTTGGTTGAAGGTGGCTGTCGCGTCAGAAGGGGCCATAAACCGACTCGCCATGGGGGTTCTATGACGAGTCGTCGGGCTAGCAACCGACTCATCTACTGGTTGCAGACGGTGGGCGACGACCAGCTTCATACCCTGAAGGGGAAGGTATAAAAGTCAGAATGTGAAGGAAAGAAAATACTAACCGAACCCCTTGGGGCAAAATTGACCGAAGCCTCGCCCGACTTCAAGGAGGAGATCTCATCTATGACGTGAGGCGGTGGGATCGGTTGGACTGGTTGGAGCAGCCAAAGGATCCTCGCCCATAGGTGGGGCGGCTGGCTGCAGCGCAGCAGCATGTTCGGGTGGTGCCACGACTGGGTCGGGTAGTTCCGCGACTTGGTCGGGTAAAACGACAAGCTGGTCGGGCATCACCGCGACCGCATCAGGTTCCTAGTTAAAACAATAATACAAGAGTCAGATATTTACAAAAGAATCATATGGAAATATCTTGGTAGTTACCTGTGATGGTTGCGGGGCAGGCGAAGGAAAAATTGGAGGAGAAGTCTCCCTCCCCGTCGGTTCCTCTAGCCGACGGGTCACTGGCAGCTCCCCTTCTGCAGGAAGAGGGATCGGGTGAGTGATGACCGATGGAGAACTAGGGTTGTCCTATAAAAAGATAATCAAAGTTAGTAAAAATTGAACAAGTATTTCCCTTAGAAAGTTTTTTTTAAGGAAATAACTTACCCCGGCTAGCGAACCCTGAGCGATTGGTTGTTCGTTCGGGGTCGGTGGTGCGGTTGTCGGTTGATTGGCGGTCGGGGTAGAAGTTTATAAGGACAATTGCCTCACTATCGGGTCCTCTCCCCGACGGGTCACTAGCAGTCCTGTGGATGGAGCAGCAGTCGGTCGGTTTATGGTCGGGACCGCAGCCGATGGAAAGGAAGTCAGAGTGAGGTATGGTTGAACTGGGGTCAGTTGAGGATTGGCTGGCTGGATTACGGTCGGTGGAGGAGAATCTGGAATGATGGTCTGGGAAATGGTCGGCTGAGGCTCGGGCGGCTGAGAGACACTCGGGGCTGTGGTCGGTGGCAATGAAGGATCCTCTGGAATAGGAAAACATTAAAATTTAAAGGGTCATACATTGAAAAGGAAATGTGGAAGGAAACAGACTTAACAAATTGCTCCCTCAAGTATTTCGGTAGTCCGCTTGTGTCCACTGGCAGAGATGCCAGGTACTCCTCGATGGCCTGCCTATTGATGACAGGGGCAGCCTTTTGCTTCTTCTTTGTTCCGGACCTGCCTGCGGCAGGCGCCTGCCTTTTCCTTCTCAGAGCAGAGACTGGTCGGGGAGAACCCAGCGCCAATGCAGGGGGCGGGAGAAGCTTTCTGACCAATTGGTCAGTTGGAGGAGCAATCAGAGGCCAGGTGGCCGACCACCAAGCAGGGAAAGTCTTAGCCGCCGAAGGTTTCGAGCGGAAAGGTAAGTAAAAGTTGGAGGTGATGTGGTCGGTAAGTTGAGAAAGATAGGTCGGGATGAGCTCGGGGATCACCAGCCCTTCTGGGTTTTGAGGTATAAGGTGTGGTCGGGCTAGCGGTCCCGGCAGACCCTGACAGCAGCCGAACTTTCGGGCCAAGAATTGGGGCTGATAATTGAAAGTATAAAATGGTCTATGGTTTTTCTTGTCCGACCTCTTACTAGAAAATAGAGATCAGGGTTTCATGGCGGAATCCCAGGAGAAGGGATAAGTCGGATGAGGAAGAGGATCAGGATAAGTCGGGGATATGGTGTGTCGGGGTAAAGCCAAAAAAGGTCGGTAGTATACTGTACAAAGGTTTCATATACATATAGGCGAGAGTTGCTACGGTCTTCGGTCAAATTTGGGTGATGTTAGGGTCGGATGGATGAAGATTAGAGGAACTAGGAGTTAGTCTGGCCAAGGCATAACCTATAGACCTTTGGGGGTTCGGGGTAATAGGTAGTCGGCCAAAAAAGGCATTCGGGAAATAAAGACGGAGTTACAGCTCTAGGAACCAAAATGGTCCCGAAGCGGCTGTGTCCGCCCTCTTGGTGTCGGTTAGGCGGGTGCTCACTCGGGATAAACCCTCAAAAAGGTTAGCCAAAAATAAAGTGCCTAAAGAGAAAAATTGGCCGCTGGCCAGATGAATGGCCAGATCGGCCTGGGAAGAAATAACAAGTTTGGAAGGGGAAAGAATAATATACCTGTAAAAAGAAAAAAGAAGATCCAACTAAAAAATCCAACTTTGAATTTACATAAAAATTTAAAGGAAAAGAAAGTATACCTACATAGCCAAAAGAGAATAAACGCTGCGTGTTCCAATTCAAAGACGGGGGTGCCTTCCTCACCCAGGAACTTGTTGACAAAACTGGTCCACCCCCTCTCCTTCTCGGGAAGTCTGGCAAGGGCCCAACCAGCGTGGTCGGGCTAAGGTTCCCGACCTTCGAAGAAGACCAAGACAGGGTCATCACCCACTATGGGTAAGTGGGCAATGATGGCCACGTCCATAAGGGTCGGGCCAATGGGGCCAGACGGGAGGAAGAAGTCTCCCATCTGAGAATGCCAAAAGGCCGTCATTGCCAGCAGGGCCTTGTCATGGAGATGGAGGGGCTGAGTTGAGAGGAGAATGGCCTTGTCAATGCCTTGCCTCCTCCATTGCGCTTCGAAATGAGGAAGGAGCCTCTTATACCATTTGTGATATGCGTCTTTGAGATCAGTAAGGTGAGTCCTAATACTGTCCAAAAGCCTTTCTGGTTTGAGAGCGGCATCGTTTATAGCCATTGGGGAGAGTCCTAATACTGTCCAAGAGCCTTTCTGGTTTGAGAGCGGCATTGTTTATAGCCATTGGGGAGACTTGAGATATTACAGATCTCATTCGGTCGGCGTCTTCATTGGTGGTGCAATACGGGCGAACGGTGGGGGTAAGAACCCTCGAAGCCACGAAGGGCACCGATGGTTCTGTACCATCAAAAGGAAGAGCAGGGACATATTGATTGGCCATTTGTGAAAAGTAGGCAGATAATGAAGGGAAAAGGATTTTAAAGGAGGATATTTGCTGGAGAGAAGAAGGATTTTTTAGGATTTTTGAGTGCGTGAGTATGGAAAGGTAAGAGAAGGGTTTTACATAAACCCCACGATGTGACATGAAACAGTATAATGATGGCACTGTTCTGTAAACCCCTAAACGTCGTGTCTCACACATTCCAAGAAGCGACGCTTAGGAGTCGGGCGGGAGGAGGCAAGTTGTTGAGCAAGAAAAAAACCAAGGTTTTCAAGAATGGGCCTATAAAATTGGACTGAGGATCGGTGTAGAGTCTAATGGGCCTGACAATAGTAGTAGGACCTTAAAAGTGAGTTCAAATACAAGTCCAAGCGCTATTAAGAGATGGGTTTCTTAAGAGAAACCTGTGATTAAGAGGTCGGACAAGGAGAGGACGGACGAAAAAGGGAAAACAATATGTACTCAGGTCAGGCGGCATATAGGTCGGGCAAAAGGAAGTCGGGCAAAAAGGAGACGATCGATACAGAGGTTGGACAAAGTGTAAGGCATGCGAAAAGAGACGTAGCAGTGGATATGCAGGTCGGGCGAGAAGCAGTTTTAAAGTGGTTAGAAGAAGTTATGACTGGCGAGCGGATTTGGAGGCACGACCTAGACGTGGCGGTTGATATGGGTTTTAAATAGGTCATTTCACGACTTTGAGAAACTATCTTCAATCGACATCAAATTCAGTGAATTGCTTTTGGGGATTACATTTACTTTTTCAGTCTGTAATATTTATTTTTCCTAGTTTTCGTACGGTATTTAGAGATTCTTAATCTCAGACATTTATTTTATCAAATTCGAAGAATATTTTCTATTTTCGGATTTTACTTTTTATTTGTTGAAAATCGCATCAACAATTATATTATATTCTAAAATTGAAGGAAGATGATTTATAATTCAATTCTATCATTTATTATTTGAATATATGTTGATCAATTATTTAATATGTATATTTTTTTTGACACAAATAATCAAAACAATTATTATTATTGATTGAATATACAAAACAAATAGGTTTAATAATATTATTGTATATAAAAATTAATTAAATAGTAAATAAAATAATTCTTGTAAAATAAAATATCATTAAGTTCTCGTTTAAGAAAAATATAGTAAAAAAATTCAAAAAAAAAAGAAAAAGAAAAAAGAAACAGCAATAAATTTATAATGAATATAAATTTATCAAAATTATATTAAAAATAATAAATTATTAGGAATATGTACTAAATAAAAAAATAACCAATTAAATCACACTACCAATCAAAATAAATATAAAATTGAGCAAAATTCTTGAGCAATTTAAATTTAAATTAATTAAAATTATATACTATTATACAATATTTATTTTTTAGATATACTAATACACATGAATATTAAAATTATATTTTTAATAAACAATAAAATTAAATTTTAAAATATTTTAAAATATACATATAAATAGTTTTTAGTAATAATAGTTAAAAATATGTATTTAATAATATATATATATATATATACATATATTGGCCCACATTAACAACCAATTAAATATAACAATCAATCAAAAAATGAAAAAAAAATTCAAAAACCTTCAAATTTCTTGTTTTACACTTACTTGAGATCTACAGTGAGCTCTTATAAACTATATTCTATATATTATAAATTTTTAATTCTGAAATTTTTCTGAAATTTTATATTTTTTTTATTTTACAGTTTTTTATCATAATTTTTATATGATAATGGGGTATATAATTTTTCAGTTTCTTTAGTGTCAGTGGATATATATATACTTTTTTAATTTTATAAAATTTATTTTTAATTTTTTATTATTTTTTTGTTTTTTTAAAAATTCATATTCTCTTTTTTTTTTTTTTCATATTTCTCAACAAAATTTACTTTTATATTTATTTTGATTTAAAAAAAGACAAAGATAAAGATGCAGAAGGAGTATGAATTTACCGTTTTAATTTTTTTTTTTGAAGTTAAAAAAAATTCATTAGTTCAATAGATTATATTTTATAATTATTTCATTTGATATGTATAAATTTTTATATCAATTCCTGAATCATTCAAATATGTATCATTATTATATGATTTTTTTCTAGATTTGTTTCATCATTTTTATATAATTTTTTTCCTTTTTTTTATCTTACTATTTTGGAGAAGATATATAATCACAATATTTATTTTTATACTTTTTTATAGTGTATAAATAATTTAATATGATATTTATTTATATTTTGCAAGATCTTATTTATTTTACTGTTATTTTCTTTTGGTAAATTTAATAATATTTATAATTGATAATCTTTAAATTATTTAAATCTCATTTTCTATTCTTATATTAGTTTTTTTTTATGAATTTTTTATCGTATCGATTTTCAAAAGATATTAAATTTGATAGTATTAAAATATACTCCTCCGGTCCCGACAAGATGCAATATTTTGTTTAGGCACGAGAATTTATGTAGTATAATTAGTTATTTAAATAGTGCGTATTATTATTTAATGATTTAAAAAAAATTAAAATATGTATTTGAATATTTTAAACATTATATATCTTAATAAAATATATATACAATATGATACTATATTTTAGAGAATAAAATTTTATTAATACAAATAAAAAAATTATATATTTATTTATCATTACCATAAATTAGTTTTGAAAAAAAATAGAGAGTTTGGATTTTGAGTAGGTTAAAATATTATAAATTTAATTAAATTGATTTATATATTTGTGGACCCATGAAGTATTATTTTATTGATTTGTATTTAATATGTAAATTTATTGGCACCTCTTATATATGATGTATAGTATATTCAATTAATATATATTTTAATAATTTTTAAAAAAATTTAGTCAATTTTCAAAATTTTAAATGATTTGTTTTTTTAATATAATATTTTTATTTATAAGTTAATGTCTAATTTTATTTAAAAGTGATAAGTTTGAATAATTATAGTTGATATTTCAGTGACTATAAATACTAATTATTGAATTATATTACTTTTTGTTTATTTATTAAATTTGTAATAAAAAATTAAGATAAATGATTATCTATTAGTTTAAAAAAATAATAAAAATTAAAGATTTTTAAAACAATTTCTCTATGTTACTTAGCAGTTTATCTAATTTGTATAAATAATTTAATTATGTTATATATTTTTTAATATAATTATTATATTAAAAATTATTACATAATTATTGTACAAATATGCTAATTTTATAACTATTTTTTTCAACTTATAATTTTAATTTTTTTTATAATATGAATGTTAAATTTTTCCATATTATTGGACGAATTGACCATATTGATATTCAAAAATTTGAAGTGAAACTAATTTTACAAAGATTGTATGTTTATATAACTATAAATACATCGTAATTTTTTTTTATTTATATTTTATATATAGTCTTTAATGTAGATATACCCTCTCGACACTCATATCACCATCCATGGAATCGACGACGTGCTCGACCCTTCCTTCGCCGCCAGGTGCAGTGCCTCCGAAAATTCCGATGTCCACGTCAATCGGACTTTCCGCTACACAAGCTTCAGCATGGTGGCGGCGACTACGGGGCCATCATTAGATCGGAGATGCTGTCGCGACTATCGCTTACAATTTTTTCGATTTTCGATCGAAATTTGTTTTTGAAATCTGGTGGTTTTCGAATCGATTTTCATCACAACGTTGTCCCAATACGACACTGTATTGCAAATCTCACCATTGGGATGAAGCTTATTACTCTTGCTGAAAACAGAACCCTCGATCATCCGCTGGAACATTTCTTGAATCGAAGTCGAGTTCCCGAAGAACATCAACGGAATGTGGCACACTGTCGACTTTATGTTGTTTGGGTTCCACTCCACAAAGTACGATGAGTTCTTGTTCTGCACAATCAACATTTTCTCATCGACCTCCTTCGTGCGCATTTTGCCGTGGAACATGGTAGAGGCGGTTAGGTACCGCCATGGCTAGAAATAACTGTCCTGCGAATTTCAAGCAACATGTCAGACACATATTTATTTTAAACACGCCCGTGTTTGTAAAAATACAAAAATATTTTATTAGATTGATATAACACAGCCGTGTTATAATTAACATGGACGTGTTTGTTTCAAATCACATGCCATGTCAGTCATTCCGTTGAAATTTTAACGGTACGACTAAAAATGATTATTTATTTTTTTGTATGAGATTAGTTTTGGTAATTAATTTTGAATGGAACCAAAAATTAAAAAAAATGAATTTGATTGAGACCAATATTGATTTTTGCTCTTTATTTTTTTTGTATGGAATCAATTTTGATAATTATTTTTGAATTAGACAAAAATTGAAAAAATAGGTTTGATTGGGATCAAAATTAATTTTTACTCAAAATTTAATTATAAATATATTATTATTATTATTGTAAATTACACATTTGCCCTAATTACTACATTTCACATCCACAATCCACGGCCGCCGCAGACCGCACCACCAGCGAGCAGGTTCTCCGCTTTCTCCTTCCTCTTCTTCTTCCCCAATTCTGTGCTCCTCCTTCTCCTCCTTATTCTCTCCCCATCCTCCTCCTTCTTCTTCTTCTTCACCTACAGGTCCTTCACTGCTCCCCTGCGCCTGCGCCCTGACGGCCAGATTAAAAAAATATATATATATATATATATATGTATATAATAGATGTCGAACCGCCGGTTCAAATACGGTTCGAACTGGCGGTTTGGCACCGAATGAGCAACTTTATTCTAAAATCCCTACGTTTTATTTGCTCTGAAGAACGCAAACAATCCCAAAAATAACCTAAACCACAACCTGCGCCGCGCGCCTACCCTTTCCCTTTCTTCTTCTTCTTCTTCTTCTTCTTCCATCGTCCGTCCATCCCGCTGCTGCAACCGCCGGAGACTTTCAGGTGTGCTTGTTTATTTTATTTTATTTTATTCTTTCTTCTATTTACTCATCTCTCTTCACCGCTTCGGCGTGGACTCGTCCGTTCGCCATTCTCCTTTCCATCCAGTCTCGTGTTGTAGTTAGTTGTCCACCCCCTCAAAAAAATAAATAAATAAAAAGAGAACAAACACACACAAGATACAGCTGCATCATAATTGTAAGTTCAGCCCCGCCCATCGTTTTTAATCTTTTATGACTAAAAGAAAAACAAGCTTGTAAAAATATTCAAGCATTTACGGCTATTACAATTTTAACGGCTTTTTGTTGTTTTTCTGTTTCAATTTAAGCTTGTTGTTTTATGGCTAAAGGAGAAGCAAGTGAGCATCTTGTATGGTAGTGACCGGGCTCTGACTCGCCCGTTGCCTTCCCTGTTCGTGTAATAGGTTGAATGTTCAACGTTTACATTTTTTATTCAAGATTAAGGGGCTCGGGGTTTGCATTCTTGAATTGGAATTTTGCACTTTCTAATTAATTGGCCTTGAAGTTTGTCCAAAACTCCCCAATTGATCGGAGATGAGAGATTTCCCAGTTTTTAGATGCGATGTATAAAGATCCCTATCCCTGTAAAGGGTTTATTTCGTTCCCTAATTCCCTAACCTTCTGAGGAAGGTGCCCCTAAGTTTTCTTTGCAATCTTTGTTGAAGGAATTATGTGTTGCATAATGCTTTATCTTATACATTGTCATTTCCTGTGCTATTTCAGCTTGACCGGCAACTTAAAGGTTGAACATCCTGAACATGGAGATTAAGTTAGATGGAGCAGACAGTTCCTTGATTTTGATTAAGCAAGGCGCTGAGGCTGTAAGTTGAGTTATGAGCTTCACATTGTTGTCAAAATGAACATTCTAGGCTTGCTGAAATAAACTTTTTTTACCTTGTTTTTGCATTATCTACACAGTTAGAAAATGGAGAATTGTTGAGAGAAACCGGCACGAGCAGTCCAGATTTGTTTAGATGTATACAAATTAACAGTATAGTGAATCGCCTTTCTACTAACTACTAGTGCTCTTGCATTTATTGTGATCCAGAGGGTGTTCGAGTCAACTTTTGTTGGTAGAAGGTCCATTGTTAAGGAACGATTTTCTAAAAAATACAGGCATCCGACTTTGGACGTAAAGCTCACGGCCAAACGTCTGAATGCAGTAAGTGTTGGTTATCGAGAATAATAATTAATGAGCTGGTGTTAAGTACTTTTCTGTTGGCTTGATTTTTAATGAATTCTGCAACAGGAAGCTAGGTGCATGACAAAGGCTAGAAAGCTCGGAGTTTCTACTCCAGTGCTCTATGCCGTAGATCCTCTGTTGCACACTTTAACATTTGAGTTTGTTGAGGGTGGTTCAGTGAAAGACATATTCCTCGACTTTGGATTGCACGGTATTGTTGAAGAACGATTAGATGATATTGCAAAACAAATTGGTGATGCAATTGGAAAGCTGCACGATGGCGGGCTGATCCATGGAGATTTGACAACATCAAACATGCTAATAAAAAAGGATACCAATCAACTGGTGGGCCGCCATTTTATTCGATATTAAGTTCTAGAGTGATTGACTTGTGACATCCATCCTTGAGGATTAACTGCTGCTGTATTTTACCCATTTTATCAAAGGTACTCATTGATTTTGGACTAAGCTTCACTTCAACCCTACCCGAAGATAAAGCTGTTGATCTGTATGTTCTTGAACGGGCATTGCTATCTATGCACTCCTCATGTGGAAATGTGGTGAGCTGCCATTTTAATCCAATTTATCAGTTAGTTTATCTTGTGTATTCTACGACTACGAGAGCAATACCTTTGATAGTTTTTGTTTTTGGAACTGTTATAGATGGATAGGATCCTTTCTGCTTACAAGAAATCCTCGAAACAGTGGAGCTCAACGTTGAACAAGCTAGCACAGGGTATGCACCCACCCTTCACTCGCTCTGGATATTTTAGATATATCTTGCTGTCTTAAAATTAGTTTTATTTTTGTTTTTTTATTTTATTTTATTTTTATATTTATGATGCCTCCCAGTTCGACAAAGAGGGAGAAAGCGCACAATGGTTGGATGAACCCATCAACTGTCTACCATGCCACTAGGTAAAGCTTTACTTGCAGTTTTTATAGGTGACTTATGTCTTCATTAAATATTAACTCTCTATGTGCTGAATAGTATCACAAAATCAGTTCTTTATTCGATTGTTTCCAATTTCCAGGTTGGGTGATTAAGGCTTTGTAGTCCTGTTAATGTCAATTCTTTTGTTGAGTTTCCAATTTTAATTGATTTATTTGATAATATGCCAAATGCCACAAACTGTTCTCATTGCCGTATAAACTTGTTTGTCTAAAAAAAACAATTCACGAAGGGTGTGTTTATTACTTGGGATAAGTTGGGATTATTTAATTCCAGTGTATTCGTGAACATGCGATATTAAATTGATTCATCACATTTTATAAATGCCCCCTTCCTCCCGTAAGAGTAGAGCTTGGCTCGTTAAAAATTCGAGAAAAAATAGTAGTTCGAGCTCAGCTTGTTAGGCTTAAATTCAAGCTCGAGCTCGACTCGTAAGGCTACTCAAGTTTGAGTTCAACTCGGATTTTGTACATATTCTATACGTTTTTTAATATATAAATTAAATACATCCATTTTTATTCATAATTTATTAAAATAAAATATTCAACTTATATTAAAAAATATAAATTTTGATATAAAAAAATTATATTGTATTAATATATAAAATAATAGTATATAAATATCATCAATAAGGAGCTAAATAATAGTTTTTGAGCTCGAGCTCGGCTCCTTTATCCTGTAAAAGGAGTCGAGTCGAGTAGGACTGTTAAAGAGCCGGGTCGCGTCGGGTTTGCTTGCGAGCTATTCGGTTCATTCAACTGATGAATCTAAAAGTAAATCCATGTGGTTGGTTAACATAATAACATTGCAGATTTTGTGCTTTTCTGTTGATTAATTTCACTGTGCAGACACACCAGAAGAAATCTGAAGAAGGGGTAGGGTGGGGTGGATCCACCTTCTTGTATTAGAATAAGAGTAGTGTACTGTAATGGATTCGAACAATATGATATTGTGGTTATAAATTATGTGAAGCAGCAGATAGATGATTTTGGGCTTGTTTGTGTCTTTGTGTTTGATGATTTGAGACAGGGAATATATTTTATTGGATTTGGGTACGACACTGGCGTTTGAATATTTTCACTTTGTTTATACTCTCAAATTTATCATTTTTGTATACTTTTTAAACAATGCAACTTACTTTTTTATTTTTTAATATAAATTTTGCTTTCTATAAAATACTTCTTTTCTTCCCTTCTCTATTTTTTTTTAAAAATATAATTATACATTTTAATTATAATTTAAAATTTAAAATTTAAAATTTTTATTATTTTAATTTAAATTATTTAGTTATTTTTATTATATAATAATTATATTTATTTATTATACTTTTTAATTATTTATTAATAATTATTTATTTTGTATCTGCATAAATAACACTAAAAATGGGATGGAGGAAGTACTATAATATGTATTTTAATTTATTTTTAACCAAATTAAATCATATTTTAAAGTTTTAAGCAAACAATGCTCTTGTTGTTATAAACCACGCAGCACTTACGATGACAGAACGTAGATGCTTTACGATCATTCATTTACCGACTCACGCATCTATAAATATATATGTGCTCTAGGCAATGAAAATATAATTTACAATCATTCCCTTGTCTCTCTCTGCATTAATTGTTCCCCTCCCCTCTGCATTAATTGTTTGCTTTCAAATACATTCAATATAATATAATTACTACTCTTACACATATATTTATATACATATAAACATATATCCGTACACACACAAACAAATATATATATATATATATACATTTAATACTTACCCAATAATTATATTATATTATTATTATTATTATATAACACGTTATCAGCACGAAAGTTCTTATCTATTTTATTTTTGGTAAATTTTATTTTTATACTATCTATATTATTTTTTTTCCAAACTATGAAAAACCTTGCAAAATTTTCTTTTAAACCTTTGTCTATTACCGGTAATAATTTTCTGACTTGGTCCCTGGATGTAGAAATGCATCTGGTTTCTATCGGCCTTGTTCATACAATTGCCACAGTGAAAATACGGCTACAAGCCAAGATCGGGCTAAGGCTATTATTTTCATCCGTCATCATTTAGACATTCCTCTAAAGTCTGAATATTTGACGGTGAAAGATCCACTTGATTTGTGGAATGAATTGAGAGAGAGACACTTGAAATATATCACTCTCCCCAAAGGCCGACATGATTGGCTTAACCTGCGATTGCAGGATTTTAAAACTGTTACAGAGTATAACTCTGCTATCCATCAGATTACATCTCAGTTAAAACTCTGTGGAGAAAATGTTACTGAGAATGATAAATTGGAGAAGACTCTCTCTACCTGTCATGCTTCCAATGTTGTGCTGCAACAACAATATTGCGAGAAAAATTTTCAAAAGTACTCACAGCTCATTGCATGCCTTTTATTAGCTGAGCAAAATAATGAGTTACTGATGAAAAATCATCAGTCCCGGCCCACTGGTTCCAGTCCGTTCCCTAAAGCGAACGTGACATTTTCTGAACGAGGCCGAGGACGTGGTAGAGGCCGTGGACGTGGTCACAGTCGTGAGAGTCAACGCGGTCGATATACCCCTTACAATCGCCGCAGTTTTGACATTAACATGATGCAGAGTAAATCCCAACATGGGGATATAGCCGAAAAGGCTAAACTGAGAAAGAGGCAAATCGGCAGTTGTAATCGGTGTGGCATTGAAGGCCATTGGGCCAATACCTGCAGAACAGCCAAACACCTAGCCGATCTTTATCAAGCCTCACTGCAGAAAAAGAGGAAGGAGGTCGAGACTAATCACATTGATAACGATAACGACCCCGATGATGATCTTTTGGATTACGACACAACGCATCTTGATATAGCGGATTTTGTCGTAGATCCAGCAAACTCCTAGTGATAAACATATTATGTCATTTTATATTATGTTTTGTAATATTTAAATTATTGCATATTACCTTTTTGTAATGCATTTTGTAATATTTATATATGCCTTTATTAATACTGCGTTATTTATATTTGAAGGTTAAATGGATGCCAAACAAAATGATGCAAATATGTGTTTCATTGACAGTGCAACGACACATACTATATTGAAACACGAAAAATATTTCTTCCATTTGAAAAATGAAAGAATGAATGTCAATACAATAAGTGGCAGTACGAAATTAATTGAAGGCTCTGGAGAAGCCATTATATTTCTCCCCGCGGGGACGAAAATTGTGATATAGTATGCACTGTTGGCCACTAAAGCTCGAAGAAATTTACTGAACTTTCAGGACATTCGGAAAAATGGTTATCACATTGAAACTATGAGAGATACCGATGGTGAATTTTTCTTGATCACCAATATCATTGATAAAAGGAAATGCATCATTGAGAGATTACCATCACTCTCTACTGGCTTATATTATGCCAGATTAGGTGTTGTTAAAACACACCTCACGGTAGATCAAAGGACTACCGATTTTCAAATATGGCATGATCGCGTTGGGCATCCTGGCAGTATAATGATGAGGCGAATAATTGAGAATTCGCATGGCCATTCATTAAAAGGTCAAAAAATGTTAAACTCAAATGAGTTAACATGTGTTGCCTGCACTCAGGGAAAATTGATAACCAGGCCATCGCCAGCTAAAGTAGGTATTGAATCACCTACATTTTTGGAAAGAATACACGGGGATATATGTGGACCAATAGACCCACCGTGTGGGCCATTTAAATATTTTATGGTGCTTATTGATGCATCTACGAGATGGTCCCATGTTTGTTTATTATCTACTCGCAATATGGCATTTGCGAGATTGCTTGCCCAAATTATTAAATAACGGGCACAATTCCCCGATAATCCAATTAAGACTATACGTCTGGATAATTGGAATTAATGTAGAGCACCCAGTTGCTCATGTTCATACACAAAATGGTCTGGCAAAATCACTTATTAAAAGATTGCAATTGATTTCTAGACCATTACTGATGAGGTCTATGTTGCCCGTTTCAGCTTGGGGGCATGCAATCTTACACGCAGGAACACTCATAAGAATGAGGCCGACAAGCTATCATAGCTACTCCCCGATGCAATTAGTATTTGGTCACGAACCAAATATATTTCATCTACGTATTTTTTGCTGTGCTGTTTATGTTCCTATTCCACCCCTCAAACGTACAAAAATGGGTCATCAACGTAGATTGAGCATTTATGTCGGATATGAATCGCCGTCAATTATAAAATATCTTGAACCTATGACGGGCGATTTATTCACTACAAGATTTGCAGATTGTCATTTTGACGAATCATATTTTCCGACATTAGGGGGAGACAAAAACGAACCGAAAAGGGATATTAATTGGAAAATCCCATTGAATTTTTATGATCCTCGTACAAAGCAGTGTGAACTAGAAGTTCAACGCATTATACATTTGCAAAATATTGCAAATCAGTTACCGGATGCATTCAATGACTCAAGCAAAGTCACTCGATTATATATCCAAGCTGCTAATGCTCCGGCTAAAATAATTGTCCCTGATGGACAAATTACAAGTGCTAATGAATCAGCGATACGCTTAAAGCGTGGTAGACCACTCGGTTCCAAAGACAAACATTCTCGAAAGAAAAGAGGAATTAATGATGATAATTATGAAAATATCAGGAATGACATTAATAAACCTCAATATAACGAGGAAGTCAACCCTGAAATAATTGCTCAAGAAGAGCACGATCTTGAAGAACATGATGAGATTATTGAAAACTCAATTAACTATGTTACTTCAAGAAAATGTTGGAACCGTAAAGAGGCAATTATTGATAATGCATTCGCATACAGTTTAGCACTTGATATAATGGAAGAAAACGAGGATCCAAAGCCAAAATCGGTTCATGAATGTCGGCAAAGAAATGACTGGCCTAAATGGAAACATGCGATTCAATCAGAGCTTGACTCATTAAACAAAAGAGAGGTCTTTGGACCAATTGTTCAAACACCAGATGGTATAAAACCAGTTGGATACAAATGGGTGTTTGTACGAAAAAGAAATGAGCATAATGAAATTGTGAGATATAAAGCCCGTGTTGTAGCTCAGGGATTCTCACAAAGACCTGGAGTAGATTTTGATGAAACATACTCTCCGGTTGTCGATGGAATAACATTTAGATACCTTGTGAGCCTAGCAGTGCAAGAAAAGCTCGACATGCGTCTTTTAGACGTAGTTATTGCATATCTTTATGGCTCATTGGATACTGATATTTATATGAAAGTCCCTGAGGGATTAAATATGCCTGAAGCATACAAATTAAACCCAAGGGAATCATATTCCATCAAATTGAAAAAGTCATTGTATGGATTTAAACAATCAGGGCGAATGTGGTATAACCGTCTGAGCGAATGTTTAATAAAATAAGGTTATACTAATAATCCAATATGCCCATGCGTCTTTATAAAGAAAAATGAATCAAATTTTGTCATTATTGCTATATATGTTGATGATCTTAATTTAATTGGAACTCCAGAAGAGATCCAAATTGCAGTTAAATATCTTAATAAAGAATTTGAGATCAAAGATTTTGGAAAGACAAAATATTGTCTGAGATTACAAGTGGATCATGTGAATAACGAAATATTTATTCATCAATCCACATATACCCAGAAGGTATTAAAGCAATTTTACATGGATAAATCTCACTATCTGAGTACACCAATGGTGGTAAGATCTCTTGATCCCAGTAAAGATCCAATTAGGCCAAGAGAAGAAATGGAAGAAATACTTGGCCCCGAGGTACCATATCTAAGCGCTATTGGCGCATTAATGTACCTTGCAAATTGTACCAGACCAGATATATCTTTTTCAGTAAATCTACTGGTCAGGTTTAGCGCATCCCCCACAAAACGCCATTGGAATGGTATCAAACACATTTTCCGTTATCTTTAGGGGACTCATGACCTCGGATTATTTTATTCGAGTGAATCTCGAAATGAATTAACTGGTTATGCTGATGCTGGTTATTTGTCTGATCCGCACAAAGCAAAATCTCAAACTGGCTATTTATTTACTTGTGGTGGAACCGCGATCTCTTGGAGATCCGCTAAACAGACGATAACAGCTACTTCTTCAAACCATGCTGAGGTTTTAGCGATTCACGAAGCCAGTCGTGAATGCGTTTGGTTGAGGTCCATGACTCACCATATTCAGAAGAATTGTGGCTTGATTACCGATTGATATATTACCTCCTACAATATTATTTGAAGATAATGCAGCTTGTATAGCTCAATTAAAGGGAGGATATATTAAAGGCGATCGGACAAAGCACATATCTCCGAAATTCTTTTTCACTCACGATCTTAAAAAAAGTGGTGAAATTAATGTGCAACAAATTCGATCGTCTGAAAATTTTGCAGATTTATTTACGAAGGCGCTACCGACTGCAACATTCAACAAACTGGTGCAAGGAATTGGAATGCGTCGGATGAAAGACATCAAATAAAGTCCAAAACAAGGGGAGCACATTAATACAAGAATGATGTACTCTTTTTCATTCACTATGATTTTTTCCCACAGGGTTTTTTCATAGTAAGATTTTAACGAGGCACATTCTTTGTATAAAGCATCAAAGTGGGAGTGTTATAAACCACGCAGCACTTACGTCGACAGAACGTGGATGCTTTACGATCATTCATTTACCGACTCACGCATCTATAAATATGTGTGTGCTCTAGGCAATGAAAATATAATTTACAATCATTTCCCTTGCCCCTCTCTCTCTGCATTAATTGTCCCCTTCACCTCTAAGTTTGCTTTCAAATACATTCAATATAATATAATTACTACTCTTACACATATATTTATATACATATAAGTATACATCCGTACACACACAAACAAATATATATATATACATTTAGTACTTACCCAATAATTATATTATATTATATTATTATTATTATTATTATTATTATTATTATTATTATATAGCACTTGTTTACTTGCTTCTGTTTTTTTTTTTTTTGATTTTTAATTATTTTTTGAAATTATTCATTAAATACGAGTATATTTTTTTTAAAATAATCAATTTCAATATTATCTAAAAAATTAATATTTGATGTGATATTTTGTAAAAAAAAATGTATCTGATATAATATATTAAAAGTGCTGGTGTTTTGGTTAATATTATAGGTTGAACAACGTATAGACAGATGCAACTTAATTTGTTTTAGCCTAATTAAACAAATAGATAATTCAAAATTGATCAGACCGATGGAGATTCAACAAAATTGATCGAAAAAAGTTTGTCGATCCTCCAAATTTATGCGCTGAATCCGTAATTCGATTATAACAAAATTGATTCAATGTGGATGATGCAACAAGAAAGTTGCTGAGAATATGTTAAAGAATATTCTTAAAGGAAAAAAAAAACAAAAAAAAAATTGAAGATAAAAGGTGATTACAAAGAAGAAAAAATCTATAGAACTATATAGTAGGCTTTTTTGGATAGAACACTCAATCTATTCTACCATGCCTATATAATTCATTCCCTTTAGTATAACTTCAGATGTTCATTGTATATCAGATATTATGTGAGGGTGATGAGGATATGTTTGGATTGGGATGTATGTAGTCAAGAAATTGGGTGGGTTGAAATCCTCTGCATATGCATGCAGTGCAGCTGAATTAGACTTTCTGTTTCATCATTACACAAACCATCTTAGACGCTTATGTAAGTCTGTTTATGTATTATAAATCCATGATTGTTGTTGTTTAGTTTTAAATGAAGTTGGGTCCAAGTTAATATTTTTTAAAAAATTTGAATAATAACAAAATTTTGAAAGTGTTGTATATCAATTTTAAAAACATAATCAATTTTTTAGGGCGGGGCGGAATTAATTTTATTATTATATAGTTAATTTGGGTTGGTTAAAGGTGAAGGAGATTGGAGTGGATCCTCGTCATTCTGGGCCCAACCGATAAGTAAATGATCTGAGACAGATAGATACCTCATACCTATGGAGCATGCAGGTGCAGCTTGTGAGTAGGCAAAAGTGAAATCATAATCGAGCTTTCTAAGTTATAATTTTGGTTTCGATGGTTCTAACTTGTTTTTATTTTGCAAATTTTATTGTTGTATCCTAAATTCAGATATTTAATTTCCAGACGACCTAAGCAAGAGTGAACGGATTCCTTAAGGTACTCCAAAGAATAAATTGTTTCAAGTCTAAGGATTTGGTAATTAAAATGATCGAAATGGAAATTCACTGAAGAAAAATCCTACTAATTGACTCAAATCGAATTGTAAACCAAGAAACATAAACGGAATATGTAAATACAAAAACCAAAGAAAATGAAATTAAAGGAAGATCAGTGTGTGTTTACTTGTGAAACTTTGATTATAATTTTACTATTTTAATAATTTTTTTCCCTCTAAAAATATCAAATCAAACACCTATTTTTCATTTATTATCTTTCCCTAAAATTTAATTTTTATATTCAAAACATCACATCAAACAAATATTTAAATTCAAAATTTTACCATTCAAAACCCAAAATCAAAATCTCATAAATATACAGTGTTGTTTGGTATGTTTGTGGTGTGTTCGATTGATTGCCTTATTCATTCCCTTCCTTCTTGGCTTTTAACCTTCCACTATCAATAAGCACCTCTAAGCCTCTTATTTGTAATATCCATAACTTTCATAATCTACAATTCCTACACATTTTCAACTATCCCTCGGTTTCTTAACTTTCCATCTGGAATCAATTATTCATTTATAATATTAATACTTTATATATATATATAACTCTATCCTTGAATAAAATATGCTTAATTTGTAGTTTTCATAAATAAGTGATGATATCATTATCATACTAATTAAAATGTAAGAATACATTTTATTTTATTTTTTTTTAATTCACGTGGATCACAATTATTTAAAAAACAAATAAATAAACTGATTTCGAACATATAAAAAAGGCACAAAAGTCAAATTTTTTATAGTCATTCCTGATTTTCTTTTCAAATAACACCTCACTTCATAATTCTAATCACTCTTTAGTAATTAACAGAAACAAGTGACTAGCATATGCCTTAAAATATTTATTTACTATTTTATCCTTCTAAAAAAGTAACACACAGAACAAATAATTGCACGAACACATCAGACTTGTTGGTAAGTTTAATAATCTAATTATCTTTTAGTTGTTAATTGTTTTATTGGAAAGAATGTTAGCTCGTAACAGGCAAGCAGACTCAAATAGAGTCATAAAACAAGGTGATCATTTGCAGGCTGAGAATACAAGTTGTAAGACGTACCAGTAATGCCTCTACTGATTAAATACAGCTGCGATTTTCTTCCGGACAAGCTCAACACCAAGCCGAGGAGATAATCTCGGCAATGTCTCCTGCAACAGATAACTTAGACGTCAAGATGTTTATCATAACCATTCTTGAATGCAAATGACTTGGAGCTACGGCAATCCGCTCAAAAAAATTCAACCAACAGCACATCCAGGCCCCGGCAATTAAGAGTTCTACTGTACCTAACCATAGCAAAAGAATCACTACTACTTCTCCAATCGACCCAATTTTGTTTTTATTCTACAACTAAATTGCTCCTCCCTCTTCAGCTGCATTATCAATTTCAGCAGCATAACAGTAGCATAGTTCTTAGTATGATCAGTAAGATCCATTTTACCTAGAGATCTGATCCTCAACATCATTTTCTTGACTTCCACAAGAATATACACAGAAACTACTCTTTTAACATCTGTTGATGCATTCAGAACAGAAACGCCATAAAACATTTTGTATATCTCAAAACTGGTTGAGTATAAAAGATAGAAAAGTTGCACGCATTTGGGCAAGTATAGAGTTAGAAGATAGAACATTGACCTCTGTGCCATCGTCCATAACTCTAGCCAACACAGGTATTTCATACTGGTAAAGCTTCTCCCACTCTGGATTGCTAGTGATATCCCTTATCTGCAAGAATATTGAACATTGAAGCATGGTTGCTGCCAACAAGATGTTGCCAAATGTTCAATTCATTTCAACTCATCTTTTGTTGAAAAAACAGAGAAGGATTTTATCTTAGAATTTAGAGGTTCAAATCCATGTCCTTAATGAGAACATTATATCAAAAGGTGAAATTAGGGCTTGAAATTCATCACATAATTTCACATTCTCATCAATTACTAAGAAGTTTTTGATTAATATCTGTAACAACACGCTCCACTAATGCTAATAATAAAACTCAATAGCGAAGAAGCATTAAAGTCGGACCTGCAACTGGACATCCGATAGCGAATTCGAGCCGGGGAGAGCGAAGGCAGCATCGAGCTTCTCTTTCAGGCCATCGCACAAACAGCATCCAGGCTTCGAATACAGTATCAATTTCCTCGTCACTGAAGAAGACGAAGAAGAGAAAGCCGAAGTCCTAAATAGCAATAATCTAGAATTACGTTGGGGAAGAAGAATAGCTGATCGGAAATTCTGAAAAAATCGCGGCCTCATTGCCGGATTTGCAACCGAAACCCTAGCAGCCATTTTCGTCAAGCACCCTCCGATGTTCCGATTCCTTCTGCTGCAGAATCGTACTCAGAATTTGGTTAATATCTAAAATCGCATTCAAAAACTTGTACCCTTTACTTATTTTGGACAAAAATTGTGGAGCTCTGTTCTACAATCAATTGAATATCAATTTGGAACAAAAATAGTGTTTGTTTTACGTATTTTTACTAAAAAAAAAATTTATCCTTTTAATTTTGCAAATAATTATAAAAATATTTTAGTTAAATTATAAATCTCCAGGGATCAATTGTCGAAAATTATTTTTCAGCACAAGGTTGAACATTCAAAATTGTGTTGTATTAATTTATATTATTTAATTATATTTTAAATGTAATTAATATATTAATGTTTTAGTTAGTAGGCATAAGTACTGAAAAAAATAAAATCAAAGATCAGATTATAAATATATATATATATTTTCTCAGTCATTCAAATATATATAGGGTGTATTTGTCTGGAAGTTTGGATTTTAAATTGGAATTTAAATAGTAAAAATTTTGAATTTAAATAGTTGTATGATGTGATATAAATAGGTGTTGATGTGATATTTTGAATGTAAAATTGATTTTTAAGTATAATATAAAAAATGAAAAATAGATGTTTGATTTGATGTTTTGTGGGAAAAAAAATTGAATGAATAGTTGAATTTAAATCCAATCCTCCAAACAAACACACCCATACTCAATTTTCTTCTTAGAATGTCATTAAAAAATATTCTGTTTTATTTTTTAGCAAAAAATATATTATTTTTTTAATTATAAAAAACAAAATATAACAATTATTATACAATTTTTTAAAACTCATGTCGAAACATTTGAACATGCAATTAAATGGCATGGATTATTAAACAATAAATATAACTTAGAATAGAGTCATGTTAAGAGTAAAATCATACACTAGAAACAAAGCAGTGAATACGGTTGTATTGATAGTTAGTGATGACTAGTGAATTTTTTATTATATCTAATATGATTGTGTTCAAATCAACATAGTCGTATTTAGTCCGTATTAGTTCTCATGAATTTAGTTCGGTTCAAAATTGATCAAAAATTTCAATATAACAAAAGATAATTATTGTGATGGGACAAACAATTTTATTTTTTTCATTTAATATATTATATGAAGTATTTCAATCCAAAATAGATCACATCAGACAATTTTTATAAATCGAATAAAATACAATCAATCAAAATTGTATTATTTGTATAGTTTTTTAAATTTTATTTTATCTTTTAAACCACTAGTTAAGAAGAATAGATTTTAGAATTAAAAAGCTTCATTAATTAAAGTTAAGCAAAATTCAAATTCTATAATTTTTTATTATGACACAATATGATGCTTGATGAATATATATGATATATGTTAACAATATATATTATACTTATTGCAATATATTTATAATACAATATATACTATGTTGTAAAATAATATACACAACATATATTGTATTATGTAAAAAAAAATACTACTTCTTCCGTTCCAATACAATAGTCTTGTTTATCATTTTTGTCTGTTCCAAAACAATAGTTTCATTTCCATAAATAACTATATCAATATATAACTATCCTTACTTTTTCATTATTATTACATAATTGCCGCTACTTTTTACACTAATACACTCACAAGGGCAAAAAAGTCTTTTACCCATACTTTTTACCCACTATCAATCTAATATCAATATTTCTTAAATTCCGGATCAAACACAACCCAACCCAAACTATAGTTTTGGTACGGAGGAAGTATTATTTACCATTATATTATATGTTGATCTGATCAAATCAACATCATGCCGATTTGACCAGATCAGTATGAAATCCGTACCATTTCTATTAACAATCACGGGTGTGTTTGTTTGGAGGTTTGGATTTTAGATTTAGATTTTTAAAGATTTTGAAGTAAGAAATTTTAAATTGTGTTTGTTTGGGGGTTTGAATTTTGTAATGATTATGTTGAAAAAAAAAATTATTTTATTAAAAAATTAATATATTAATGTGATAGTTTAAATTAATTAAAATTTAAATATTATAAAAAAAATTATAAATAATGTGTTGATGTGTTTTTTCAACAAACAAAAAATAAAATTCAAATATATGGAAAATATCCTCAAATTTGATTAATTAGTGCTTGAGATTAGGAATCTCTAAACACTGTACGGTACATAAGAAAATTAACTAGAATTTAAAATGTTGGAAATTTAAAGTGGTGATCCCAGAATCTCTTGACTTTGTCATCGTTTGAAAATGATTGAAGATGCCCTGTCAGTTGCAAATTTTAATCCTTAAATACTCTTCAGAAACGGTATTGGAAACCGTCGTCTGAACGGTTACAACGCCTCTTTTTCAACCGTCTGCTAACCCATCTCCTGCTGACACGTGTCCTCAGCCGACCGAATTATCATTCTCACTCACTCTCAACAGTATCCAACTCTTCGGACCGACCGCAGACCTTCCGCCCTTTTGGCCCGAACGCAACTCTTCCGCCCTTTTTGGACCGTCTGCAGTCCTTACGTTTTATTGGCCCGACTGCAAACCTTCCGTCTTGTTGGTCCGACTGCAAACCTCCCGACTTGCAGACCACCCGACTTGTTTGGTCCAGCCGCAAACCTCCCGACTTACGGACCATCCGACTTGTTGGTCCAGCCGCAAATCTCCCGACTTACAGACTATCCGACTTGTTGGTCCAGCCGCAAACCTCCCGACTTACAAACCATCCGACCTGCGGACCTTCCGACCTGCGAACTTTCCGACCTGCGGACCTTCCAACTTGCGGACTTTCCGACCTGCGAACCTTCCGACCTGCGGACCTTCCGACCCGCTATTTTCTTATAAATACATCTACTTTACCTGAGTTCCCCGCAATGCCCCTCGACTAGTTCGATCATCTCAAATGTTAGGCCCATTTTTCTTTTTACCTTGGGCTTTTTAATCTAATTCTAAATTTCATACGTAACAACTTGCCCGCCGCCATTGTACTTTCAAACGTCATTTCTCAATCGCCGTTTGGAAGTTCATAAACCACAACCCCACTGAGGAATTGCCTCTGCAACTGCAATCAGTTTTTGCAACATATTGTGTCACAACACTCCCCCTTTCTTCAAAACTACTTGTGTTAATTGCAATGTCTGCAATTCCAAACCATGGCAAATCAATACATCCCTGCACTCCCCTTCGACGGATCAATCCCTGAAACCACTCTTGTGTCGACGAAAATGCTCACTCCAACTATTCGTCCATATTGCACTACTCCTGAAGACTCCAACCGAATGAGAGAAGTCTTGGAAGCCCGGAACCTACTAGCTGTCAACAATCCTAACTATAATGCAGTCCGCCTCCATGACAACATAAAAACTCATTTGACGGACCCCAAGGATCCATACCGCACCTGGTACCAAAGAGTAGCAGAACATTTCCAGGATCAATGGAAAAATCAACAGATCGATCAAGCCATACGTCTGTCTACTCTCCCATGTCATTTACATGAGAAAGTTCTTCTAACAATGGCGGCGTTTTGGCACCCTGAGATTTGCGCCTTTCTTCTTCCAACAGCCCCCATCGGCCCCACCCTCATGGATGTGGCCATGATCGCTCACCTGCCAATCATAGGGGAAGACCCTATAATGGGTACCCTAGACGGACAAGAGCCCAGAGCAGACCATCCAGGTTGGTCCTTGGCTAGCCTTAAGGAATAGGGCTGGACCAAATTTTTAAATGATCAACAAGGAGCAAACGGTATCCCTGTTACCGACCGCGAGCATACTGCCTTCCTACTCTTCTGGCTCTGTAAGTATGTCATCATTTCTCCTTCAAAGTGTGTTCTTCCTACTCATCTTGATTTGGCCATACATATAGCCTCTGGCCGTTTCTTTTCTCTGGGTACTCTTTTCCTTGCCAATCTTTTTGAAGGGTTATCCAGGGTTAGCACCCGCCTTACAGATAAGGACGGTAAAAAATTAGACACCGCTGCGTCGGGTCCTTTTTGGTTCCTGGAACTATGGTTCCGTCTCTATTTTCCCGACGCTTTCCAACTCGGTCATCCTCCCGTTGCCCCCACATATGAGAAGTCTCTAGGAATAGCCCTTAACCGACTTTGCTAAGGTCGCAACAACCTCCAAGCGTCCGACCCTGTCATAACTGTCATTCTTGCCGATAATCGTAATAACACCCATTTCTACATACATAGAAGGTATATTGGTTACGCATCCGGCCTGTTTTGTCCATTCCCTGTACCTTCACCTTTTTCCGAACCAAACCCACATCCTCATCCCACTTACTCTTTCTCCTGGGATGCTGCTCTTAAGCCCAGGTCCTTATTTGTCAGCAAGAAAATCGATAAGAAAGGCCACAAAGCGTTTTATACCTTCAGCTATCAACCTCAGTTTTTGGCACGCCAATTCGGATGCCAACAAGGCTTGCCTGGTCCTCTTGCTCATCCTCACTTAATACCTCAAAGCCCAGATGGACGAGTCATCCCCGAATTGATTTCTCCTTATATTTCCCAACTTACTAGCTACATCACTTCTAATTCTTACATTCCCTTCCGTTCTTCTCCTAATTCTGTTGAGTCCTTTTGCGAATGGTGGTCGATCGTGTGGGCTTTGATTGCTCCTGACAAACAACATTTGTTGAGCACTCTTTTGCCCCGACCTGCTTTGGTGCTAGGGATGGCACCATCGACTAACACCCGAAGAAAGACAATCGCCCCAGGCACTGGGTCGAGCGCCCCGAAGAGAAAAAGAAAAACACCTCAAACCCAGACAGCCCCGTCATCTGGAGGAAATCAGCATACCTCGAGAGACCTTTCACCAGGTCGGGCGACAAAACCATCCCGACCCCGCTTAGGTATTTCCCAAAAGCCCTGATTTAATCTAATTTTTCCTTCAGCTTCTAACTGATTATTATTTGATGTCAGGCCCAACTTCAGCCATGGCGACCATCCCTCTGACTTCGACATCAACCGAACCTACGCTTGCCTCTCTGATGGCCAATCGGAAAGTTGTCCCGACTAGGATGCAACCCCCTTCCTTCCAAGCGGCGAGCGATCAAGAAGAAACTCCAACCAAAAAACAATCTTCGCGAGTACCGCCTTTAGCTCAGGTCGTCTCT